CTAATCTACGCAAAGACTCCGCTATTCGACGCTGAATCGGCGTTTTCCCATCGACTCCCAGACGCTGGCGCACGCAGATGAACTCTACAGACGAGGTGTCAAGGACATGTCAGGCTCCCACGAGCTGCTGCCGAAGAAAGCTCCCGCCTCTTCCTCCTGCTTACTAGTTGAACCATATCCCTATTCCTGTGTTTGGCATTATGTCGGGCGTGTCCCCCTACAGGCGGATCTTGGGCGACAAATCAAAGAAAAAATCAGAAACACTTATCAAAAATAATAGAAAAATAGTCCCTGGACTACTTTTTGACTATTCTTTAATTTTCCGCAAGTTTGGCATCACCTCGCCTCGATGCCGATCTTAAGGATTCCCTTCGGCTTCTGAGGGCACATCCCTAAGATTGTCCTCGCTTTTTTGCTCGCCCGCCTTGGGGCCAGGGACAAGTGCGAGGCTGGTTATCCTGCGGCCTCCTTGGTCTGCCCCGCCGAGCCGGCGGCGGAGCGGACCTGCTCCTCAGGAACCGGGAGCGGCGACGCCACCACCCAGGGGACCACGAGCGGGAGGAGCCAGAGGCAAGAAATATGTCGGGCGTGTCCCCCTACAGGGGGATTTTTCGACGAATAATAAAAAATACTCCAAAAATGCCTCAAGAAGGTCAAAACATACTCAAACCATGGTCCCCAGAGTATTTTTGGAACATTTGTTGATTATTGTTTGGGTATGTTATATTTTTCGTCGAAAATCCCCCTGTAGGGAGACAGGCCCGCCTTGAGGCAAGAAGAAGAAACCGCGCCATCACCATGGAACTGTTGGCGCTCCGCGCAGACTTCTCGGAGGCGCGCCGGGGAACCCCCTCCCTGGGCGCGCGGAGCGCGCCCAGGGTTAAGTCGGGCGTGTCCCCCTACAGGGGGATTTTCGAGGAAAAATAAAAATAAAAAGTACTGGAAGATATTCCAAAATGGTAAAACACATGCCTACAAAAACAAATCGTCCCCAGACTATTTGTTGGACTATTTTTGAACATTCCCCCTGTAAAGGGGCAGGCCCGACTTAACGCCAGGGGTGGCGCCGCAGGCGCCGCCAGGGAGGGGCCTCGGGGCGCGGATCCAAGAAACCCGCGCGGAGCGCCAAAAGTGTATGCTTTGCTTCCCCCCCCCGGTGCTGTGGTCTCCCCCCTCGCTCGAGACAGCCCCTATCACCAGTCTGGGGAGGCATCCTGGGCCTCACCGCGGAAGGTGGCCCCCCTGTTCAGTGTCGGTGGCGCCTCTGGGATCGGGGAGCTGGCCATCGCTCGAACGTCCATTCCCTGTGTTTTTGTTCAGTTTCGTGCGCGGCTTTTTCGCTAAACGATCAAGGATGCTACTCGATTGTCCTCGCCAAAACGAAAAATGCACACGTCCGAGCGATGCCAAGGAAGATGCAAGACTGGGGTTCGGGGGCCTCGAGTTGGCCTGCCGGGGGCCGCTACAGAAATGGCGAGACCCAGCGTGAAATTTGGCCACGGCTCCCGCCGCAAACACACACACACACACAGACAGACAGACACAGACAGACACACGCACACACACACACACACACACACACCACGAAAACTGGGCTGTCGAAACTCGGGACGGAAGCCGATTTCCGGCGAACTCGAGCCTCACGTAAATAAAGGGGCCCTCAGACACACAAATTAGCAGACGCAAATAACATGAATCCTCATATGTTCATATATTTTCTCGTTTTTTGTCTTCCCCCCCACTTCCAATATGTTCCAGTATGTTTTGGGGAATCGACGATGAATTGTGTCTGTGTGTTTTTGTTCCCTCCTGAGTTTTCCTGGTGGAGCATCGCTTACGCGATCCCTATTCCCACTGGCGTGGCCTCTGCCCCACTGGCCGATCTACCCCGATGGGGATACAGGCTGCTCCTTTCGGCTTTCGACCTGCATGCCCCCAATTGGGGTGGTGGGATGGTGAGGATCGGGATGGGGATGGGCACGGGGATCGGTCCACGATCCTGACAGATAGTACCTCCTCTGACACCCCTTTTTCTGCCCAGCCGAGCGGACAACGGGGCGGACCTACGAAGACGAAGCCAGAACGAGGATAACATCGTGTGTGTTGTTTGGCTGTCCGTATGTTTGTTTGTCTTTCGTGGTTGTTTTTTTGTTGTGTTTGTCCACAGACGTGTCTTCCATGGATAAGTCGAGAATCTCTGAGGTCTGGCGGCCCTGGAAGACGTCTCGGGCGCCGCGAACTTCTGCGAGCGTCCCGGCACGCTCTGCGAGCGCTCGCTCCAGAACTCTCTGGAACGGACCCAGACATGCGACGCCCTGACTTCTTCAGGGCGGCGTCCGTGGAAGTCCCGACCCCTTCCCCGGGACTGGTCTCTCGTCCCGAATAATGGTTGGACGCCCCCGAGGCCACGCGAGGGCCCCCCGGGGCCGAAAACTGCCAAAAACCTCCCGTCCTGATTTGTGCGACGACGCGATCACATCTGGGGATGTATCCTCGCCCT